ATGAGATTAGAAGGGTAAAAATAATTATGCCTTTGCGTCGAACCAGCAACCGAAAAGTCGCTTGTTCAAATCCAGAAATTCCTTTTAAATGTTCATATATGGGGTAAAATGTGTGCGACTAGACGGGGGAAAGATAATTATGCCATTGTGTCGAACCATTTAACGAGAAGTCGCTGGTTCAAATCCAGATATTCTTTTACATTTTTCTAAATGTCTATTTAATTTGTGATTAATCACAAGGAAAATATCATAAAAAATTAAATTTAAATGATTGCAAAGGTGTCACACACGGTATAACAATCCAATTAAACCCTGTGGTAGGGTATTGAAGAGGTAAACCCGTTGCTGGACAGTTGTGGCGTTGCGTGAACAGAGTCAGCTGGCCAGGGCCGGACCGGTTCAATAAACACGCTTCGCCAAAGACGGCAACGAAAGTGAGAACTGCACAGCAACAACAGCTGAGAAAATATTAAATACAAAAAAATTGTTTAAACAAGAAACAAACAAAAAACAAAAAACAAAAAACAAAAAAAAAAACACCACTCAGTTCAGCTAAAGGGCAAACTAGTGCAGCTGGGGCCAACTTCGTGTTGGGCAATTAACGGGCGCATCTTTTGGCCATTTATCATTTATCAATCGTAACTGCAAAACAATCAAACAACGTCAAGAGTTACGTTCCGACTGGGCAGTCACTTGGCGGCTCCTCAATGCTGATTGATGACCAGCCGCAGCAGCAGCCGCAGCCGAGAGGGCAGCCGAGGGGGGCATTGGCGGAAGGGGAACGCTGAGCAGAGCGGCTGTTAAATGCGCTACAATACATTACGCATACGCCCTGTACACAGTCGTCGCTATAGCGCAGCGCAGCGCAGCTTTATTCAGTTTTTATTTTATTGACTAAGGTCATCAACACACACACACACACACGCACGCACACACACCCAAGCGAGAGCTCGAATCTCGTGTCGCATCTTCACTTAACAAGTTGTGCCCGCCCCCGCCCGCTAAATCTTCGACTGGCAATGCAGCCTCTAGTTTTGGGTCTTTTTGAAGGTCAGCCTGACGCGGCTTTATGAAATTGTGTCACCTTATATATATCCATATATTTTGACAACATTCTATATGCACTATTTGAGCTTTACCAGGAAAAACGTAAACATGACTGAAATTAAAAACAAAAAAATTAATGATATTTTTTAAAATATTTTCAATGTTGATCTTTAAAAATGTTAAGATTGAGATAATCTATAGGCGCAAGTGCACGACTTGCAGATACCCTGAACATGGCTGTCGTTACAATAATTATAACTAACATATACACATGCACACATACATAGAAACACACATACGCACACATGTCGATGCATTTGGCTGGGCTTCTTCCAAGCTTAACCACACTATGGTAACTTCGGTCTCTTATGTCCGATCTTTATGAAATTTTCAGAGAATAAATATGGTATTCAAATGTGTGTAAATACCAAAGCCCAATACTATATGTCTGAAAATTCGATTTACTACAATTTTAGTGGTTACGGGGTAGGGAACTTAAGAAGATATGTATCTATATATATGTATGTCTATATACAACATTTGTTGTCTATAACTCTTATATGCTGCGCTATCTCGCATAAAATTAGGATTTTGATATCGATTTTTATCGATTTCATGCTCAGATTTCATAGTTTTACCTCTTAAGAGTCCCATTATCGAAGAGACATGGCTTCATTGACTCTTCTGTTGATTCTCAGCAAGAATTTGTATGCCTCATGTGTTCGGAGAGGCCTTCTTCTGCCTGTTACACACATACGCACAAAAACATTATACCCATCTTTAGCTATTTTTAATAGGTTCCGGCTATTAAGGCAGTTGCAATATAATACTATTTTTTTTCCTCGTTTTTCTTGATGTTCAAGTCTTACGAGTGCGGCAAGTGCGTGGCCCTGGAATAGCCTAAATATATTAACCATATATGCGCTTAAGACTCAAATTAGTTAGATCTTAGCTGTTGTTAGTTAAGATTGAGGAACTTTTTTGTTTCCTTTTAAATAATATATATATATATATATATGCTTATATATTCTTTATAATAATTATTTCCTGTTGCTGCCGTGCTTCTGTCTAATTATATTTTTTTTTTAGACACTTTTTGGTGTTGTGTGTAAGTAAATTCAGCCGTTGACCTATTGCCATAGATATGCAAACACGCGCGTCTAACCAAATATTTGCAAGCACATTTCATTATCACTTGCCGCATTATCATGATTACGTTCGGCTCGCGGATCGCGGTTCGAGATTCGAGATTCGAGATTCACTTGGCGGCCAATTCAAATGAGATTCGAGTGTACATCAAATGCTTAATGGGTTTTTGGCTTGTTCAATTAAAAGCTTAAGACATGCACACACACACGCACACACGCACAACCACGCACAGCCAGACGGAGTCTTGGGCATGCCCAGAGCAGAGTCAACAATTATATAATTTGTGTGCATTAAAGGCGATTGTTATGGCTACCTTATTGTGTGTGGTGTGTGTGTGTGTGTGTGTGGGAGCATTTTGGACAGCCTGATGAATTAGTATAAATAGCTGGCAGCTCATTAGCAGGCGCCACATAACTCGTTAGCGCCTAATTGTGACAAGTACGGTAGCGTGTCGTGAACTCCTCTTGATCTAAAATACTAAAAAAAAACTATTCGAAAATGCGTGGAATCAACGTTTGTGCCTTCGTCCTGTTCGGATTTGTGCTGCTGTCCAGCAGCCAGGCGGCGCCGCTGGATGACTCAAAGGATGCCCAAATTTTGCGTTACGATAACGAAAACATCGGCACCGATGGCTATAACTTTGCGTGCGTATAGCCCGGGAATACAAAATAAAACTAGAGGATATTTAATAAAAAAATTAACGCTTTACAGCTACGAGACGAGCGACGGCGTCACACGCCAGGAGCAGGCGGAGCTGAAGAACGCCGGCACCGAACAGGAGGCGCTCAGCGTGCGCGGCTCCGTCAGCTGGGTGGCGCCCGATGGCCAGACCTATACCCTGAACTATATTGCCGACGAGAACGGTTTCCAGCCACAGGGCGACCATTTGCCCCATAACTAGAGCAGCCACAAATGGATCATTGGCTCGGACTAATCAGTATTTTCTTCTATAATAAAATAAAACAAAAGAGGACTCTAGTCGGAAGTGCCCGACTGGGGTATACCTTGAACCTTCTTCTACCAACACCAAATGCTCACATTAAATGGGGGGATATTTGTTTCCCAACTCTTAGAACGGGGTGACCACTTGCCTCAGAACTAGAGCAGTCACAAATGGATCACTTTCTTGGACTAAGTAATCAGTACTTTCTTGTATAATGAAATAAAACAAAAGAGGGCTCTAGTCGGGAGTGCCCGACTGGGGTATACCTTGAACCTTTTTCCGCCAACGTCGATATCGATTATTATCGATTAATGCGATTATCGAGCACAAGCTCGAGCTGTGCGGTCACTAGCAGGACCTACGTTGAAAATTTCAGTCTCTAGCTCTTACAGGCTGTTCAGACAATGCTAGATCGACTCGGCTATTGATGCTGATCAAGACTATATATACACCTTATGGGATCGAAGATGCTTCCTTCTGCCTGCTTTATACAGGTGGAACTTCCTTCTTACTCATTTTCAATGTGTTCAGAGTAGAATTAATGAGCTAAAAAATACTGCATTTGAAGCTCTGGTTACACTGGATTTTAAGGGGAATTTTAGCATAAGTAGTTGAGATTGTGTCTTGCTCGAGAAATAAACTCTGAGCAGCACTCGAAAATGGGTTCATTTTGTGGCCTTAATGCTCCGTGCTTTCTCGTACAATAAAATATAATTAATGAGCTTAAAAATACTGCATTTGAAACTCTGGTTACACTGAATATCAAGGGGAATGCTTGAGAGAGGAGCAGTCATTATATGACCTTAATACTCAGTACTTTCTCGTAAAATGAATTATTATTAATGTGCTAGTAAATGCTTATTGCATAATTTTCAAATGTTAATTTGTGTTAAGTAACTGAGGTTATGTCATGCCTGGGATGCCGAGCTGTGAGCTGTACTAAGTCGCAGAAAGTCAAAGTTATTTTGATTTAATACATGCTCAAATATTTCGCCTCGGGCGCGAACTTACTCGCAATACATTTATCATAGCTAAATAATTACAGAGTAGTGATATTTTGATTTAGCTTTATCTTAGCTTTTATTTTATTTGTTTCTTTTTTATTTCGTATTTGGCAAGCGTATGAGGAATGACAATCAAAGTTGTTTTATTGCAACCAAAAAAAAAGTGTTAATCTATAATTAAAATGTATTTTATTGAATTTTTTCATTAATTTGTTTACTTAGAATATTGTAGTATTCTTTTTGTTTTTTTTTTTTGTGGCGCCGATTAGGATATTGTTCTCTAGAACTTTTAGCACCAGGTCGCCTATAAAAGCCATTCGCGTTACGGTCAACGGGCCAGTTAAGTGCAGTCGAGTGTAAATTAAACATGAAGTGCTATACCCTGTTTTTAGTTGTGTGCCTGGCGTTGGTTAGTTTCGCCCGGGCAATGCCTGCCGAGGATGATTCAAAGGCGGAGACTCTGCGCCTGGAAACCGACAACAATGGCATCGACAAATACTCCTTTACGTGAGTTTTGAGCTGTCCACATCCGAAGCATCCATTTAATATCCTCTCCCTACCATGCCCAGCTACGAGACCAGCAACGGCATCGCACGCAGCGAGGAGGGCGTCCTGAAGCCGGGCACCGGAGACGCCGAGGGCGTGCTCGCCGTTTCCGGCTCCAGCAGCTGGACGGCGCCCGATGGCAAGAAATACGAGATTACCTTCACCGCCGACGAGACGGGCTACCATCCCATTGTCAAGCTAGCTGCCTAGACACGGCCCAGACAGGCCGACTAACAATTAATGGAACATTCCCAAAAAACCAAACAAAAAAAATTGCAAATATACAAAAATTATATAAAAATAAATAAATAATATATAGAAGCTATAAACTATAACTAGATATGCACAAAAAAAAAGAAAGATGAAAATCTGAATGAAATGCAAAGCAAGCAATTTGCAGCAGGAATTCCTAGAAGATTCCCAACTCTTAGCTTACTATATACTATATACTATATATGTCTGATATTTTTCGTACTTATATGTAGGAGTACCTATATATATGTAGATATTCGACTCTCATGTTACGACCGTGGTCAATAAGTCCATAATTGCTTTGGGTTTCATCAATCGATGATCCAAGGAGTTTGCCAATCCCTTTTTATATCTTTGGTACGACCTATTCTTGAGTATGCCTCATGTGTCCAGTAGCCAAAATATTCCATTCATCACGACGAAATTGACTCTGTACGAAAACAACTCTTGTTGTTTGCCCTTTGTGGATTAAACTGGGATCCTGATATGCGATTGCCGTCATACTCCAGCAGACTTCTGTCTATTTAACTTCCCTCTTTAAATAATTGTAGAATTTTCCTTTATTCATAAGAGACTAGCCAAAGTGCGTCTCCTACAACTATGTGGATGTCGGTGGTGAATTCCAAAAGCTGACTAAGTCATGAAGCTTAAAATCGTGCTAAAAAATACTGCATATTCAGCTCTGGTAACACTTTGTCAACGGGAATTTTAGGTTAAGTAATTGAGCTCATGTCATGCTTGAGAGATAAGTTTTATTCATTCGAATATTCCAAGTCCAAGTATAGAACACATTAATAAATCGTCTTAGCTGAAATCGGACTCGCAAAACAGTTATCATAGCTCAGCGAGATGGGTATTTTTTCCACCCTAGGGTGACCGTATAAATAAAACATACAAATATGAATGCATTAAATAGTAATAATAATTAATAATACATTTCCGCTAACCTGCAGTCTATGCCTCCGCTTATACAATTTTTGGCGAAGCATCAAAAAAGTGAAATATTCTTGATCTGAGATATGATAAAAATTAAACAGGAATTCGATTTAAACCAGCTACAAATTAACAAAGCATGCTCGATAGAGGAACGAAATAAAAATGAAATGAAAAGAAAGTAATTTATTTATGAAACCCGGATCCCTGTAACAAAGGCCAACTCTTAGTTTCTGGCAAACAATATGTGCTTGCTTTGCGCATAAAACTAACAGTTATGCAAATTCCTGTTTATCGATTCTTAATTATCGATTTGCATAACGCGTTCTAGGCCCAAAACGAAATGAAAAGTATGACGCAAGAGCGGCTTCTGCTTTAACTATAAAAACTGGAACCCGATTCGTATATATATATATTTTTTGTTGTATTTTTTCCGTGGTCTTCTTCTGCCTCGTATACGCATCGTGGCTGCGGCTGGCGCGCGACCTTCGCGATCATTTTGCATCATCAACGAAATTTGCAAATTTCGTTGTGTGAATAAACTTGTTTTTTCTTTTATATTTTTTTTTTTTGGTTATATTGGGTTTTCGCTTTTGTTTTCTTTGTAATTAATAGGTACATAATGAAAGCTGTGCATCTACAATATAATTTTTGAACAATTAGCGAGCAGCGAATTTGTTTGACAGCCGCACGAAACAAAGTCGAAACAACCACAACAATTTTGAAGGTTAATTTCCGAAAAAATTATAAACTTGCACAAACGTAAATATTTTATGATTTTTATACCCTCAAACTATTGAGAATGAGCTGAAAGGTATAATGGTTATGTGTGAATATATGTAACAGGCAGAAGCACACATTTCCGACTTCATGAAGATTCATATTCTGGCAGATTTAAATGCTGGAGAACTTAAATTTGGAATGTAGCTGCTCCTATTTCCCGTGCAGTTCAGTTCAGTTCGATAATAGGCCTCATTTCTTTGAAATCGATAAGAATCGATATCGAAATCTTGATTTTAGAGCAATCCTCGATGCTTGGAGACTTTGTATGTAGACTCTCGTATAGTCTACACATTGATAAATATTGGGGAGAGGTATTCAAGAAGTGTGTTGGATACTTCCCCCTTCAAACTCTTGGGCCTTGGAATTTATACACATATAGATGCATTATTTGTGCCTTGAAAAATTCTAAAGATCCCCCAGAAACCCATTTCCCACAGGGTACCTCCTGGTCGGATACTCCTGATTGAAGCATTCTTTTTATGCTGATGCTAATTTTAAAGGCAACATCTTTGAAGTCAATCAAGCATAGAAAATTTATACAAGCGCTGCCCAACACTGGCCAGCTAATTCTGATTTGCATGCCCGCAACCTTTGCTGACGTAAATATTTTTAAGCCGTCCAAAGAAAATATATTTATATATACATTTATTTGAATATAAATTGCTGCCTAAACGAACAATGATCTGCGTCTGGTATTTTTATTGGGCCGAGCTTATCAAACAGATGCATAAATTAGTTTTCGGACAGAGCCATGATTTATTTAGAGATCAACAACCCATCTGGCCTGCTTCTAGTCTAGGTTTTTTTACTCTTTACTTCTTTATATTATTAATAAGCCAAGTATTGTGCGCTAAAATTAATAATGAATTTTCTTAAATATTTGCGCGTTTACTTTATTACTCAATTATCTGATCTTAAGGAGCTCGACTATATAAAGTTAGAAGCTATATAGTTAAAGCAATAAAGTGTTAAACAAGTCATGCATAAAAAACCAGATTTCCATCTGCAACAATGTATAAAGGTTTGGGTCAGCGTCGCGTTGGCTTCAGTCGAATCAAGCGCTTCAATGCGAATCAAGGCGTTTGCATTGATCGCTCTATTCCGATTAGATCGAAGTGCTCGACAATGAGTTACCCTATAACTATATATCTTTTATTTTAATTGTGCTTGACAGAAAACAGGGGTTGCAAATTGATGGAACAATATGACTAAGTCGATAATTACCTGAGTATGTGCGTATATAGTATTGAAGAGTGTATATCACTTTCTGCTTGATAGAGTCTGAATAACCTGATCTGGCATATTAATGGATGTTACATGCAGCAGGAAGTATCTCCGGGCCTATAAAATATATATATCTTGATCAGTTTGATGATCTGAATTGATCTAGCTTAGTTTCAACATTTGTGTAAGCACGTTTTGAACGATCTTAAAACCTTCAAAACCTGAAGATTTTAAATCTTAAATATATATTCTACCGTACCATACAAGAGTTGCTCGATTGCTCTTGGCTCTTGGCATAAAGATAGATAGAATAATATGACTTTATCGATTAAACTTATCAATAGTATATGTACCTTTGTGGTTCACATCATGCAAAAGGTAACATCTGTGAGTCCATAGAGTATATATTCTCGATCAGTTCGTCGAGCTGAGTCGATCTAGCCATGTCCGTCCGTTTGAGTAAGCATGTCTCGTTCTTGAAAATAAGAAAAGCTAAAGACTTTAAATGTTAGATATATGTTCCTCTATACCATATGCAAATCCAGCTAATGTGACTCCTGCAGAGTTTTGACTGAAGTATTCACTTAGTTTTCAATATTTCCACCAATTTTATTAATATCGATAAATATGTATCTCGAGACATGGTTTTTTTTAGCATTACTCGAAGAGTATACAAGTTTTAGACATAAAATTTGGCATGTTACCTCCCGTATACTATAAGCACATTATTTTACGATACCTTCATCAATTTTAATCAATTGTCATTAATATCGATACATATCGATTTAGGAAATTATGATAGACAACAATTCTGGTTTGTAGCCTCTTGCATATCACCAACAAATTTATCATATTTCACTTCTTGGATACCTTCGCTCTTTCCCCCTACAATTGGAAAAGAAAACTCTTTGTTTTAAAGGTGCGCTTTGATATATACACACTTTAGTCTGCTATATTAAAACCCTGAACGATTTATTAAGATCGGACTATAAGTAACAAAGTGAATCAAGAATGCATTTTTCTTGTAACTTATTATATTATATTACAGATCAGCAATCTACCCCTTTAATTATTTTTAATGAGTACAGGGTATAGCAGGGGATATACCTAGAACCTATAAGTATGTGTCAGCTTTGATATTGAACGATAACAAATATGAACAACTTTTAGGCCTTGCCGTAAAAGCACATGCGAAACAAAAGACTTAGGCAACAAACTTGACAAATGCAAAAGGCTTTTTATTGCCTACTTTTAGGCGAGACCAAAAAACGTTGCTTGTTTTATATTATTTAGACAAGTTGTTGAAGCTGTTTGTTTGCATTGCAATTTAAATGCAAATGAAGCTGAGAATATTCCCTGAACTTGACAGCAATATTAGCATGTACAAGAAAATAGCTGACAGCACAACAGATGCAATTTCTGCTGCATCCGGCAAGCCAATACAGGCAGATGCGCAACGCATCTCGGGACAGCCGATGCCTGATTAATGATGCACAGCAGCGTGCTGCAGTGTAAACAACTCTTCCTCATTGCATTTAATTTACCCTCCGGCTTGCAACGGTAGTTGGCATCAATAGAAGCTGATAAATCATATCGAGAAGCCATTTTTGTATTTCTCGAACTGTGCTCGCTAATTAACTGCGAGCAGCCAATAAGCGCGCTGTCAACCCACATTTTTCATTCTCTGTAGGTGTCAATAAATATTATTATATCTTCATATTTATTATTTTGCTTGATTCACGTATATCCATATTGCCACGAGCTATGCAAATGAGCAGCATAATGACACGTTTTGAAAAATTAAAATAATTATTGATACTAGAGTAGATGCTGCCTGCGTGCGTAGTCGACTTGCTTATGCCCTGTAAAAATTAAGATTATTTATTTATATTATAGAAGGTAAAAGTATTTGGAAAGTAATATGAAATATAACAAAAGTGTTAGAAAAGCCTTCATCTGTCAAAGCTGCATAAACGCTTAACAACACTAGAGTTTGTCAACACTATTTTGAAGGATTTGAAGTATAATTGATAAATTAATCATTTGAAAGTTTTTTAGACAAAGAGGATAGGCGCAGGTTTTAGAATTGCGAATTTCAAAAAAAAAAAGAAAAGTCGCTAGTTCGGTTTTCTGCTTCGAACTGCTTTAAAGTATCTTGAACCTAGGTTCTTGGCTTATGCCTTGGTTTCTCATTTATTTATTTATTTTAAGCGAACTCTTGAATTTTTCAATTTTAAATGCGTGTTGCACTGAAAATATGACAAATTATACATTTTTCATATACAAAATTTGATCTCTACTCATATTCATAAATCTTCCCATTCATCTACGCTATCAAATTTGATTGAATATATGCAATGATTATGAGCCGAAGATGTTTGCGCTTTGCGGCTGAGTCTCCTTTAAACGTTTCTTTACTTAACCAACTAATTTTTTAAAACAAAATATTGTTCAATTCGAGCTTCGTTTCGACTGTTCTTAAGATTGAATACAAGGTTTGTTTTATAGTAAGATATTATTAAAATTGTAATTTAAATTACCCAAACAGTTGAGTTCAAAACTGCTAGGCAGCCTGAAAAATAAGAATATAATTTAGATATAATAATGAATAAAGATAATATTAAAAAAATTTTGTGGGCATAAGCATTCTGCTTTATATAAAGCTTATATATATTTATATATATTTAAAATTTATATTATAAATAAATATATGCTGAGCTATGCTATATATTTTTTATGGCCTGACAAAAAATAAAAATCTATAAAAATATAAAAGAGTAGCAATTTTCAATTTATAAAAATATATGTTTACATATTTAATGCTGGTTTTGGCGACCTTTTCATATTTTAAATATTTATTTAGCTTATTTTATATAAATATTCTTAATTATTATTCGCAAATAAGTAAAGAATACTCGCGCGACGCCGGGTAATTTTCTTCAGTAAACAGCAGTAAAAAGCAAGTGAACGGATCTAGCTTGTTGTTTAGAGGGTATTTAGTTGATTTTGAGCAAACAGCGCTCAGTTAGCTGATATGCTAGCACACACACACACACACACACACACAGAGACACACACACACGCATGTACGCAGTAGCGCGGGTTCAGCCAGCTATGTGTGTGCGTGCGTGTGTGTGTGCTGGCTGACCAATGTTTTATAATGTTTACCAAATATTATTAGGTTTGTCAATTGGTCGCCGAACATCGTGGGGTGTGTTTCAGCCGTTTCGCCTGCTCAGTTGAGAGACGCGTCGCTAACGGTACTGCTCCGCATAAATTAATTGAATTAATTGAATTAATAAAATTATATATAAAGAATATAACAAACGAGCTAACGGTGCGCGCCAATATAAATAAAAACAAAAAATTAAACGCGAAATTTGCAAATTTTCAAGAATTAAGAATTAAGACAAGCTGCAAAATGAGGCAAACATTTTTGGCTGTCAATTGTGTTGTAAGTGCGCGCCTGTGTGTGTGTGTGTGTGTGTGTGTGTTCTAATTGTTTATATTATTTATTTAATTTATTTTGTACAAGCTGCTGACTGTGCTGTGCTTTAGCTTCGTCCTGCCAGCCACGGTGCGTCCCTACAAGTTCGGCTTTACGATCGAGGAGCAGCAGCATCGCCGCGAGCAAAGAGGTGAGCGGAAGCCGAAGGATTCTTGCCAAATTGATTGACACCGATATGATCAATCAATTATATGTGTGTGTATGTGTGTGTGCATGCAAATGGAGCTGCGTCATGCTGGCAAGCATTAGCAACTGCCGTCGGCGACAAAAAAGGCAACAGCTTTTGACTTTTTGCGGCAACTGCCACAACGACGACGACGACGACGACGTCGAATTGTGCAATGCCGCACAATACACGTTTGCAGCTCTAATAGCCGCAGCTGCTGACACCCGGGGTCAATATCAATTGAAATGCCTAAGATTCTACCAGTATGCCCCCCTCTCTCTCTCCCTCTCTCCCTCTCTAATTGCGAGAGGCATCTTCTCAATAGTTGATAATAAAATTGTCCGAAAACTTAGGAACCTCTTCAATTAGCATAACACGTAGCCAGAGCTTCACTTGGCTTATTTATTGATTTGTCTCTTGTTTCAAAACCAAAACTGCAAATGTCGCCACATTTCAATATTTATAAGTCTATATTTATACCAAGTATATCTGAAATGCCAGAGTTGAGCGTGTATTAGAAAAGCACACACAACATTATGTGGGCAACTTGTTGTGCACACACACAACACACAATGCGCAAACATTTATAGAGATATTTGCATATGCAGATTGCATAGATAACAGAAGCTTTAATTTAGTAGAATATTATGTGCGAACTTTCGTTTTATAGCTCAAGCTAAATTTAAGAGCATTTCCTAGAAAAACAAAACAATTAACTAAAAATCCAGGAAAAAGAAAATAAATTTCTTTAATTATTTTATTTTTTATTCAATATACCTAGTATATTATAAAAGAAGAACAGACAGAATCTTTTAAGGAAGTCTTTGTAATAATTATTGCGATAAATCGCTCGGTGCTTATTGTCCGATCTGCATGAAATTTTTATATGGCAGCTAAATGTTTGTAAATATCAAAGCGCAAGGCTTACCTCTAAAAATATGTTGCTAACAATTTTGTTGGAAAAAGAAGAGGTATCAATAAAGTGAAAGAATATTCTGGATCTAAACGAGTATTTCCATACAAAATTTTTCGTTATTAGCTCCTAAAAGAGGCTATCGATATCGATTTTTATCGATTTCATGGAAGCAAGCTATCGAAGATTTGAAGCAAAATAAATCTGTGCGGGCAATGGAAGGAGCTAAGTTTGTAGATCCTTAGATCTAGTTAGTTTAAGTCTTGAGATCTTATAGATCCCGAGATCGACGAGCTTCTAAAGCACAGACAGGCTTGTCTTAATCGAATTTGTCATTGATGCTGATCTAGAATATAAACATCTCCAGAAGTCGCAGAAGCCTTCTTCTCACTGTTACAAACATTTCCACAAAAACATTAAACCCTTTGTACCCACTATGTGCAGGGTATAGCAAATCAAGATGTTTTCGAGCGTATATAGATAGATAGATCCGTTTCAAACATTGCTTTTAAGCATCGCATATATATATATAAACTTTCTGTGCAATCTTTCTTTTCAAATGACATTTGATATTTGCCGATATTTGTCTCCCTTTCTCTACAATTGCTTGGCGCATTAAGACGGCTATAAAGAAATGACAACAGATTATGTCCATTAAAATGACACAAACAATCGTGAAACGGGCATTGAAACGTTTAAAAAAGCACGATCGCAGCGATAAGTGCGAATCGAAACTTGTTTAAGACTGGAGAACAACTAAGTAAAGACTGAGACAGGTGCCGCACAGGTGGGTGGCTCTAGTACCAGGACGTAGATTTTAGATTTTTTATGCTAAACATAATTCTTGCATGCGTTAAGTCTCGGCTGGGGCTTCCATTTGGCCACTTGTCATAAACAAAAGCCGAAGATCATAAAACGACGATCATAATTATCGCGACAGTTTATTCGATCTTAATCTTTATAGCCGGGCCCAAGCGCCTGTTTGGCTGGTTTGTCGCTCCAGCGAATTATGGCTAAGAATGAACCAGTTATGTTTCGGCATTAATAATGAAAGTGATCTATACATGCATGGAATATATTTATTCACTATACCCTGTAACATGAACACAAGCAAATGGGGTATATACAGTCTAGATGTGCCTGAACAGTTTGATTGTCTAACTCTCTGAGAGAAAGAGACTGCAAAAACTAAAACATCAATTAATGCGCAAAATAAGCTATCTGTTTCCCATTTTTTCGTGTTCGATAAATATCGATTTTCAACCAAGGCCTTGAGCATGTTTTTTCAGAGCATAAGATCTGGAAACATAAAAATGTACACATAGATTTCCGCACAGTATAATACATTTCTTTTAAATTACCGAAAATTCACTACGTTATAGCAAAATCGATAAATATCGATGTTTAGCCTCAGGTATTTAATCATAGTTCGCTGGATATAATATCTAGAGACCTACACGATGGATTTAAATGTTATAAAATGTTCGATAGCGCGCTTCTTCTTTTCGCAAGCGATTAATATCGATATTCAATCCCAGTTTCTTGAGCATGGAAAAAACATTGAGGAATGTAGACCCTATGCTCCTTCCGAAAATAATAATCCGTTTTCGATAACTTCCCCTTTTCCTTGAATTAGATAAGTATCGAAATGTTGCTTAAAAATATTTTGAGTATATTCAACTTCTTTCACATTGACAAATTCTATGTAATATGATTTGATAGAATATATCGCTACGTTATGCGAACATCGATAAATATCGATTTGCAGCCTTCGTGAGCTTAACTTGTAGGTAATTGAAGCTAGAGTCTAGAGAGAGACAGAAAGAGAGAGAGAGAGAAAGAGAGAGAGAGAGAGAAAGAGAGAGAGAGAGAAAGAGAGAGGGAGTGAAACTTACTTTTTCGACAGCTCGCTCCCTTTCGATAAATATCGATATTGCAGTCTTTTGATCGCAGGCATTTTAGAAGCTAAAGATACCAATTTAGAAAAATAAATGATCGTCTCTTCTTTTCACCGCCCACCAAAATGCATCTACAGGGTATCTGCTAGTCACGCGCTTTCGACTAGCTCGCTCTTACGTGTTTATTGAATGAATAATCTACTTGTGTTCTGCCCTTTTTATTAGATGAGAACGGAATTGTAATGGGCGAATTTGGTTTTATAACCGCCGATGGAATCTACCACGTGACGGTCTATGCGACCGACGAGGAGGGCAAATTCCGGATAATATCAATGAAAAACTATCCGTATGCGGGTCCCGTAGCGCCCAGTAAGTGCAGCACGCAGAATAATAATAATTAAGAATAATGTCAACTAATTGAAACTCGATCAATGCAGAGAGCCCGCCGCCCACAACGACGACCACGGCGGCGTCTGTGGCCAGGCATCACTTTAATACCGCCGCCTGCTCCGGCTGCTTTCTGAACAAATCTCCGCCGCCGGAAGCGCCGCAGCCGGGCATCCGTCCCAGCACCAAAACGGAGATACGCCCGCTCTCGCAGCCGCTGTCCCCGTCAGCGGAAGCCGGAGCTGTGCCAGGTGAGTTCACAGGTGAACGGCAGACACTTACACCCAGCACACAGACACACACACACAGACAGGCCACAATCCTTAAGGATGCCTTTGAGCTGGAGAAATTGGCTGCTCAGGATTTGCAGAGCTTTGTCTTTGGCCCCCATGAGCCGCAAGCAGCAGCCGCTGCTACTTTGTTCCAAGCTGCAGTACCTGCTCCTGCGCAGGAGCCGGCTGTTGTGCGCAATGCGAAGACCGTGGCACTGGCTCACGAAATAGCCAAGGTGCGGGCGCTGCGGCCAGCGAATGTCCTGAGTGCCAGTGCCACGACGACGCAGTCAAAGGAGCTGCCAGCGGATGCACCTGCTCTTAGCTCTGCAGCTGCTTTTGTGGCAAAGCTGGCGAGGATTCCGCCGGCAGCAGCGGATGCGCTGGATTTACAGACCTTTGCTGTGGACCCAAATGATTCTCTTGCTCCTGCCCCGGCTGCTGCAGAGGAGCCCGTGGAGCCCGAAGTTGTGCGCAATGCAAAGACCGTAGCTCTGATTCACGAATTAGCCAAGGTGCAGGCTCTGCGGCCGCCGAGTAGCCTGGAGGCCGATGGCACAGCATCGCAACCAAAGGATCTGCTAGCGGATGCACCTGCTCCGAGCTCTGCTGCTGTTCATGTGGCAAATCTAGTGAGGAATCCCCCGAAGGATTTGCAGAGCTTTGTTCTTGGCCCCCTCAACCCTCAAGCAGCAGCGGCTACTGGTGCTCCTGCTCCTGCCCCGGCTGCTGCTCCTGCTCCTGCTCCTGCTCCTGCCCCGGCTGCTGATCCAGCCCAGGCTGCTGCAGAGGAGCCTGAGGAAAAAGAAGTTGTGCGGAATGCGAAGACCGTGGCTCTGATTCATGAATTAGCCAAGGTGCAGGCTCTGCGGCCGCCGAGTAGCCTGGAGGCCGATGGCACAGCATCGCAGCCAAAGGATCTGCTAGCGGATGCGCCTGCTCCGAGCTCTGCTGCTGTTCATGTGGCAAATCTAGTGAGGAATCCTCCGAAGGATTTGCAGAGCTTTGTTATTGACCCCCTCAATCCTCAAGCAGCAGTGGCTACTGGTCCTCCTGCTCCTGCCCCGGCTGCTGCTCCTACTCCTGCTGCTGCTCCTGCCCCGGCTGCTGCTCCTACTCCTGCTGCTGATCCAGCCCAGGCTGCTGCTGAGGAGCCCATGGAGCCCGAAGTTGTGCGAAATGCAAAGACCGTGGCTCTGATTCATGAATTAGCCAAGGTGCAGGCTCTGCGGCCGCCGAGTAGTCTGGAATCTGATGGCACAGTGTCGCAACCAAAGGAACTGCTAGCGGATGCGCCTGCTCCGAGCTCTGCTGCTGTTCATGTGGCAAATCTAGTAAGGCATCCACTGGCATCGAATGTCCTGACCGCCAGTGGGACAGCGACACAGCCACAGGAATTGCCGGCTCCCAGCACTGCCGCTGCTTTTGTGGAAAAGCTGGCGAGGATTCCGCCGGCAACAGCGGGCGCCAAGGAGCTGAACAGTTTTGCCTTTGGTACGCTGCGACCCAGCTTGGCAGCGGCGCAGCGGCTAAATGGACAGGTGTTGTACGCCATGCAGCATGTGGCGCTGCCTGTGAAGCAAGCAGTTGCCGGGGCTGTGCAACAGCAGATGCAGGACAATGCGCTCTCCAATCGTAATCCGGACGCATCGCCCCATCAATCTGCAACGTTTGCCACTGAGGCACAGCCTGTTCTGCTGCCACACACCACACAAACAACACCAGCACACACACACACTGCCACACACACACAGCTGCCAGCAAGTAAACAAATTAATCACGTATTTCAATTGATTTCCGTTTAAAAATGATTTAAAATTCAAAAACTTGCAGCCGTTCAGTCGGGTCAGCAACCATTCAGTGCAGTTGGCAATGCGGCCGCAGGAGCGCTGCCAGCCTTGACAGGCACCCAGCAACAAACAGCAGCAGGCGTCAAGCCACGTAAGCCCAGGCAACCACCAATTCGTTGAGTTTATTTATATTTACAAGCATTCGCAGCCTTAGCAGACAGCAAGAGACCGCAACAACCAACAGGCAGCAGCAGCTCAGCAAGTTTCAAGCCAAGTAAGCCCAGACACATAACCATTCGTTAAGTTAAATGAATATTAATAAAACATATGTAGATACAGTTGCAGCGCTGCCAGACGTGACAGCAACCAAGCAGCAAAGTCAACCGCCAAGCAGCGGTAACACAGCAAGTAACAATACACCACGTAAGCCAGGACAGCAACCAAATTCGTTAAGTGTTACAGCAAAAGCTTTGCTTACAGAACCCACCTCAACTAAGACAGCAACCAATACAGGAGCAGTTGGTGAACCCGGACTCACAGGCGATTTGTACAAATTTAAATATATATTGGACTATAATGGCCATGAGGAGACCGGCAGCCGTAACGGCGATAAAGTGGGCAACTACTTTGCCATCGGCGATGATGATGTGGAGCGTGTCGTCGAGTATATTGCCAATGAGTTTGGCTTCCAGCCGCACATTAGCTGGCGCAAACTGGAGGGCAAGGAGGCGACGCTGCCCGATGAGAACTCGCTGAAGCACTACGAATTCAAGTGGTTCAACAAGGCATCCCAATGATGTGCTCATTAATCAATAAGTAATTTTATAAATCAAGTATAAAAAAATAACTGTACTAATTGAGAATGAATTGAAAAGATTTGTTGTTGTTGTTCTTGAATTGGGTTTTGTTTTTTTTTTTGACTTTTTTATTTTTGTTAAAGGTATTCCACTTAAATCAACTTAACGCTTAGTGGGATTAGGGGGAGGGGGGAGGAGGGGTACACAATGTGGTGGTTGTCTATTATACTTAGTTATATAATATTTGGTAAAGTTACATTCAGAATTTAAAAATTGTATACATTTAGATGTAGCATAAAGTTGCATATCTCAATTACACACACATTTAAAATTACATAAGTACATTTATAAGTATCGATACTTTTGCTACCCACTGCAAATGGATAGAAGGGGCTGTATACATATACATATACATATATATATATATTTATTTATTTTTTAATATTGTTGAATTTGCGCTTAAAATTTCTAAATATTTTTTATACACACAGAACTTTTTTGTTTTTATGTTTAAGATTAAGATTAACTTTTCTTTTCTTTATTTTTTTTTCGTTAGATAATGCATCGTGTTAGATGTTTAGGTTATTTAAAAATTATTCAAGAGTTTTAACTGTACAATCAACTATCACAGTCAACCATATCGAACTGATAAAGAACGCCCAAGTTATATAATAAGCAAAAGAAATATTATTGAAATCAAAGGTTAAAGAAAATGAAAACGAATGAAGAGAATCTAGACGAAAGTGCTCGACTAGTTGATACCCTGTACCTGTGCCTAGGTGTCTTGAAGTTGCCTTTCCACGTCGGGCATACCCCCATTCCCCAACAGTTACAGGGTATACGAGTATCAACTGAAAAACTTAAGAATCCCCATTCATTCTTAGATCTGTATTCTATATATTTGTATATTTACATTTCGCCAACAAACACTAAACGAGAGTTTCTTTTTCTAAGAAGCGAAGAACTATCGATAATTAGTTATCGATTCAGCTTAGAATTATGAACTACGCTTTTATTGTTGTTGAAGAAATACATAGATTGAATGATCCTTTAAGACCTGCTTATCCCTTACTATTAACAAGTGGCAAATGCTAACAACAATTCAAAATATCGCATATATATATTTTTAGTTTACATATATATGTGTGTGTTCTGGAAATCGTTTTAGCTTACAATCGAGTATTTATACTAGAACAATTCGGAAGATTTGCAAATTGTTTTCGTACTGGAAAACGAGTTTTGTTTGATTCTCATATGTATATGTTTAGGTTTAGGTTAAGAGTTCAACTTACGGCAACAACGTTAACTAAAATAGTCTAAAGACACACGCACACACACATTCACACACACATTCACACACACATGCACACAGGGACACACCTACGCCACACAAAATGCATGCATTTATCGCATCTGAATGATATTTACATATACATACGTAGACTTTATATCTTTTGATACTGATCAAGAATATATATATACATATTACTTCCTCAATTTACCTCTGGTTGGGCAAAAAGATCTTAATTTTAGCCCAGATAATAGAATAATAATCGAAACTGAAATTTTTACTGTAGTTGCCCTATTTGACGAATACGTTCCACTTGCAAGCGTGGAAAATTGACGGAAAAGGGTTGCATGTAACTTTTCGGTTTACCAAGCGATTTTCCTAACATTTATTTTTCAACATTTTTGTAAAGTTTCTTTTGAGACGTGTTACACACTTTTTGGTAAATCCACCCTAATTAGTGAAATTGGGTATCAAAGGTTTTTTGGACGAAGTTTTTGGTTCAAACTCATTTCCAAGGATCCAAGGAAATTAATACGAAATATTAATAGATAATAATAGTTGAAATTTTCTCAAAATCCTCCCTGAAATCTGAAGCTCAAGACTTGTGCTGGGTCAAGGTCAGCTAATAGACGCTTATATAATGTGATTATTGGCTTTAAATAATTATCGGACCTTTATTAATTGTGCCACAAATCGATTCGTTCACAGTGTTTCGTAACTAAAGCGCGGAACTAAAACGCCTCGTGAAACTGTTTTCAATTGACAACGAAATAAAGCGCAAGTGAAGAAAGCAAAAAAGTTCATTTCCAAACCGAAGGCTGAGCCGACAAGATGAGGTGGATATTTTTGGTGCTGAGTGTCTCCATGGGCCTCGCTCTAGTGTGCGGAAATATCGATGGGTGCACGCCGAATGGCAAGGCTTGCATTTATGACAACAAGTGCTGCAGCCGCAAGTGCAATCTCTACGGCACTTGCAGCGACAGATGGAGTGTTCCGTATAACAAAACAACAACATTGCCACCATAGTCGAAATGGGTTACTTAATAAGCAGAATGCCGAATAAAAGCATCAATGATTAAACGTATAAAATGTATACTTATTTATATACATATATAAATATACGAACTGTCATTGTTCGGCTTTCTTCGGTCTAAGTTTAAATCCACCCGTTTTACCTGCAATTCGACGTCTTAATTTCTAACTTTATTGATATTTATGGGAGTTTATCGAGTTAAGTTTCATTTTGCTCTTGAATAGCTTCATAAGAAGTCTGGGAAATGAGTTTGAGCCGAAAAACTTCTAGCACAACATTTTTGATGCCCATTTCCACCAAGGAAGGTGGATTTGGCGAAAAGTGTGCAAAAGCTACTCAAATGAATTTGAACAAAGAACTTTTGTAACTTAGTTTGAGATTGATCGATTGGCAAACAAAAAAGTTTCACGCAACTTTTTCCACTATTTTTCCACACTTGCGGGTGGAATCACAAAAGGTAACTACAGTAAACATCTGTTGATCAGTCAGGATAAACATTCGTCTATATATAGATATATATTCTCGATCAGCAGCTTTTGACTGGTTCTTGAGCTATTGGCTATGAGTAAAATCCGCTGTTTTCTGGTTTTGGTTTTTCTTTTTTTTCTATTGGTTTTCTTGTTACTTTTTTTTTCTGGTGGTTTTGGTTGCACTTACAATAAAAACGTCGCCTGCTCGCCCTTCATGTCCAGATAGTCGTACAGTGTGCGCTCGCTGCCGGCGCCATAGCTGCCGGGATATGCGTGACCGCCGCCGCTGCTGCTGCCGTCCGGCGCTGCGTCGGCGGGCGTGGCCGCTGGCGGTGGCGGACCGGCGCCCAGACTCAGACCGAACTTCTCCAGGTGGCATCATTTGAGCAGCGTCGGCAGGCTGCTGTTCATCAGCCGATTGCCCACGACCAGCGAATTGAGCGTCGAATTGCTGCCGCCCACGCCCACACCGACGCCCACGCCGACGCCGACGCCCATGCTCATGCCGTGAACGCCGAGACCAAAGCCAGCGCTGGCATGTGCCGGCGCCGCATTCAGATTCTGGCCCAGACTGGACTCCAGATGCGACTGTCCGGCATTCAGATTGCCGCCGCCGCCGCCGCTGCTGTTGTTGTTGTTGTTGTTGGCGGTGGTGTTGTTGTTGTTGCTGCTGCTGCTGGTGGTGTTGTTGCTGCCGCCGCTGCTGGTGGTGCTGGTGGTGCCGCCGCCGCTGCCAAAGCCGCTCATAATGCCAGCGCCGCCGGCGACGCCAACGCTAACCGCGCTGCTGGCGCCGCCAGCGCCGGCATTGCTCTCATATTATGATGGTCATGCGTAGTGCGGATAGGAGCTGAGATGCGGCGCCACATGCGAGGGCGTCACATGGCTCATCGAGTGCGGCTGATACAGATTTGTCGCCGGACTGCCCCAGTTGCCCCACGAGGCGGCCGTCGGAAATATGGAGGCTGCACAAAAAAAAAAAACAATTCAAATCAGATCAGTAATGGAACGCAACGGGTGACTGCAAGCGAAACGCACCTGAGGACGAGGTCATGCCATGATGCGGACTCATAAACGAGCTGAGCTTGGCGCTGTGATGATATGGCGTCATGAACAGATCGCTCTGATACTTGTAGGTGGGATCGCTGGCCGCCGGCTGTGTGGCCGCCGCCAAACCCTGGAAATCAAATTTGTACGCATAGCGCTTGCCATGCACCTTGGTCATGATGTTCTTGTCATAATAATATCTGCAAATATAGAGAGTGCCGAAAAAATACAGTCATAACTGGCTTGGGCGCAGCATTTGTAGATCACAGAAAATTTAAGTAAATTAAATTAAATAACGCATAAGACGCCCGACTTAAAGACACACTAAACCCAGCCTCGGCCCTGAATACGTTCGGTGTCTATTGTCCGATCGTAAGGAAATTTTTGAGGCATAAATACCAAGGCACAAAACTTAACCTACATACATATGTTATTTTTTAGAGAGCTTTTTATAAAGTAAAATATTCTGGACCTTTATATTCTAATCGAGCGTCTACACACCAAATTTTGTGTCTCTAGAGCTTATAACTTCCGAGTTATTCTTAAAAAAAGGATTGCAATATCGGTTTTTATCGATTTTTATCGAGTATTATCCATTATTATCGATTTCTTACCAATTATTATCGATGGTTATTGATTTATTTTCGATTATTATCTATGTATTATTGATTCTTATCTAATTCTTATCATTTTTATCGATTTCTTATCGATTATTCTCGATTATTATCGTTTAATCGATTTGTTATCTATTCTTATCGATTTATTATCGTTTTTATCGATTTATTCTCAATTTTTTTATCGTTTCCTTATCGAGCTATTTTCGATTTTTATCCATGTATTATTGATTCTTATTGTTTTTATCGATTTCTTATCGATTATTCTCGATTCTTATCGTTTACTCGTTGTCTTCTTTATTCTTATCGATTTCTTATCGTTTTTATCGATTTTTTCTCAATTTTTTGTATCGTTTCCTTATCGATTTATTTTCGATTATTATCGATTTCTTATCGATATTCATCCATTTCTTAAAAGCGAGGCAAGTAATTGATGATTTATAGCAAATCTTTCAAAACTCTCGCTCATTCCGCCTATATTAAAATCATTTCCCTTCCCGAGGCCATCTCTCATTAAACTACAACATGGCTGGATTCTCCCTTAAGACCGTTTGCTAGAAGAGTTTTCACCGTAACAAACTACTAGAGAGTCATTTTTCGGTGGGGTAATGTTTGCTGCTGCCAATGTGGGAAAGCCAAACAAAAGACTGAGCGCATAAATAATTACAAAATAATGCGCGCTTTATGCGTTTTAAGTTAATTTGCTGACATTAGGCGATTTTAGTGCTAGACTTTGGCCAAACATCCCAACCCAACCCCGGCCAATCCCAGCCCAGACCGACTTGCCCTCAATCTCTGGCCCCGCAATTAAATGGCAAACGCCTTGCGCATAAACTCAAACAGAAATATTTCGTGGCTCAGGGCCAAGCCAAATTGCTTGGGCAGACAGCCAAGCAGCGGGCGGGCGGGTGGTCGGTCGGTCGAGCGGACGGAGGCCAGGCTTGGGGGTAGACAAGACAGACGATTGCCCGAAAATTTCTGTTTGCATTGCTAGGGCAGCCCGAAAAGTGATTAAGTCAGCTGCGTACTGGGTAAACTAAACAAATAACTGAGCGATCTGTGATAAACTACACTTACAGCAGAGTAGGACGCTGGTTCAATGTCAGGTCGAAGGTCACAGCTACGATGTTATCACAAAAGTAAAGTTGATATTTGGGTACTACTTATACATGCTTACCAAATTTACACAACATTTTTTTAATATCTCGTATTTTTACATATCGCTCTTCTATGCAATTCTCATGAATTCAGCTAAGCCTTACAGGCGAAATAAACTCTCTTCCTCTCTCTCTTTCTTTCTCTTACTCTCTCTCATTCTCTCTCAATCTCTCTCATATTGATTATCTTATTTAGTCGAACTTACTAACTTTCTTTTTCTTTTGTCTTTCAGTGAATTTTTGGGTAAGTCCACTTTAACATTTACATTTATAAACTGGAATACATCTATATTAAACCAATGCATATTTGGACACGGTTTATTTCTAGCATTAATAATAAGCTTAAAGAAATTTATTTAGACTTCAATATCGTTTTTTCATACTTTATCTAAATGGTCATGCTTTCAATATATATATATGCTCGGCAAATTATATACTTATAAATATATATACCCAGACTTTGCCCGTGATACGTTTAAAAAAAATTATCTCAAAGATTTTTCAAAATGAGTTTGAAACCGATCAGACTGTATACAACATTTTACATGATTTTCGTCTAAAAATTACGTTCCCAGATTTAAATATCTAAATACTCGAAGGGCCATACCATGAAGAAAAATCTAAACTTCGTAAAAATCGGTTGAGACTTGACCGAGTAATGGGAGTGGGAAATTTCAACCCATGTCCATATAGGATTTCAGAGGGTAAAATTGTACATGAATTTCGACCAAAAATTATGTTCCCAGATTTAATTGTCAACTTTTTCTAGGGGCCAAATCAAGATTATGTCATGAATTTCGACTAAAAAATGTGTGGTCAGATTTAAATGCCAGATTATTTTAGAGGGAAAACCATGAAGAAAAAACTAAACCTCGTGAAAATCGGTTGAGTTTTGGCCGAGTTATAGGGGTGGGAAATTTTGGCCCATGTCTATATACGAATCCTAGGGGTAAGATTTTGACATGAATTTCGACTAAAAAATGTGTGGTCAGATTTAAATGCCAGATTATTTTAGAGGGAAAACCATGAAGAAAAAACTAAACCTCGTGAAAATCGGTTGAGTTTTGGCCGAGTTATGGGGGTGGGATATTTTGGCCCATGTCTATATACGAATCCTAGGGGTAAGATTTTGACATGAATTTCGACTAAAAAATGTGTGGTCAGATTTAAATGCCAGATTATTTTAGAGGGAAAACCATGAAGAAAAAACTAAACCTCGTGAAAATCGGTTGAGTTTTGGCCGAGTTATGGGGGTGGGATATTTTGGCCCATGTCTATATACGAATCCTAGGGGTAAGATTTTGACATGAATTTCGACTAAAAAATGTGTGGTCAGATTTAAATGCCAGATTATTTTAGAGGGAAAACCATGAACAAAAAACCAAGCCTCATGAAAATCGGTTGAGTTTTGGCCGAGTTATGGGGGTGGGAAATTTTGGCCCATGTCTATATACGAATCCTAGGGGTAAGATTTTGACATGAATTTCGACTAAAAAATGTGTGGTCAGATTTAAATGCCAGATTATTTAAGAGGGAAAACCATGAAGAAAAAACTAAACCTCGTGAAAATCGGTTGAGTTTTGGCCGAGTTATGGGGGTGGGAAATTTTGGCCCATGTCTATATACGAATCCTAGGCGTAAGATTTTGACATGAATTTCGACTAAAAAATGTGTGGTCAGATTTAAATGCCAGATTATTTTAGAGGGAAAACCATGAAGAAAAAACTAAACCTCGTGAAAATCGGTTGAGTTTTGGCCGAGTTATGGGGGTGGGAAATTTTGGTCCATGTCTATATACGAATCCTAGGGGTAAGATTTTGACATGAATTTCGACTAAAAAATGTGTGGTCAGATTTAAATGCCAGATTATTTTAGAGGGAAAACCATGAAGAAAAAACTAAACCTCGTGAAAATCGGTTGAGTTTTGGCCGAGTTATGGGGGTGGGAAATTTTGGCCCATGTCTATATACGAATCCTAGGGGTAAGATTTTGACATGAATTTCGACTAAAAAATGTGTGGTCAGATTTAAATGCCAGATTATTTTAGAGGGAAAACCATGAAGAAAAAACTAAACCTCGTGAAAATCGGTTGAGTTTTGGCCGAGTTATGGGGGTGGGAAATTTTGGCCCATGTCTATATACGAATCCTAGGGGTAAGATTTTGACATGAATTTCGACTAAAAAATGTGTGGTCAGATTTAAATGCCAGATTATTTTAGAGGGAAAACCATGAAGAAAAAACTAAACCTCGTGAAAATCGGTTGAGTTTTGGCCGAGTTATGGGGGTGGGAAATTTTGGCCCATGTCTATATACGAATCCTAGGGGTAAGATTTTGACATGAATTTCGACTAAAAAATGTGTGGTCAGATTTAAATGCCAGATTATTTTAGAGGGAAAACCATGAAGAAAAAACTAAACCTCGTGAAAATCGGTTGAGTTTTGGCCGAGTTATGGGGGTGGGAAATTTTTACCTATGTCTATATAGGATACTAGTCGGTATTCTCCGTATTCTCCAATGGCAGGTATAAAATTAATTTATCTCACAGATCTTTGAAAATTTATTTGAAGTCAAACGTTTTTCGCAATTTTTCCACACATGCGGGTGGAATTTCCCGAAAACTACAGTAATAAGTACAGATATACGCTCCCTTATAATGTTTTCAGACTATGTATATAAAGATCTAACGCATACCATATATATTGTTTATGTTGTTATCTTTAAGAAACTGTGTAGATTCCGCGTCTCATTAAATGCCCTCCCTTTGCCTTTAATTATTTATGTATTCAAAATTAGCATAATTATTTGACGATCTGAGCAGAAATACTCATTCAAGTTTTATGCTTTTATTCCTTTATTGCAATTTTATTGCACATATCGAATTTGGTTTATGCGTCGCTTTTGTTTCGCAGCAGACAGAAACAAAACAATTAAAAAAAAAAAACATGTAAATTAATTTAAATTTCAATGCGCACAGTAATTTTTTTTAAATATATATTTTCACTTTTTTGCCTGCGCTATTGGCCATAAATTATGCCAATTAATGGCATAAATTAAAGGCAGCAACAAAAGACAAAGGCCCCCTTGGATGGGGTGTTGGGCGGAGAGGGGAGGAGGGGGGAGGGGCGGGGTGGTGTGAAAGCAAACAATCAGAACCAATCAATGGCTGCTGATGGACGCGGGGCACAAAGCACACAATCAGCGAGACAAACAGCCGAGCAAAAAGGATTAAAGTAAAAGCCATTTACACGCATTATGTGTGTGTGAGTGTGTATGGCTGTGTGTGTGTGTGTGTGTGTGTGTGTGGCAGGCCAAGTGGCCAACAAAAGGGCAGCCGGCTGTGAATAAACAAGGCAAATGAAGCATTAAAGCACTTGTCCTTGTTGTCTTTATGTGGCAAGCATCTACATTTGCTGCTCAGTTTTCATTTACACACACACACGCACACACGCGAACACACACACTTGCGCACACACACACTTGAAGATATGTGCAGCATACTTTGCAGCGCTCACATTTCTTAGCACACATGAAAGCAGAGACGGCGACTGTGTTCAATTGAGTTGAAATGTGTGAAAAATAAAAAAAAAAAATATATAAGTATTAAAATAATATCTCTGCCGAAGTTTAAATACCCTTACAGACAAAAAGCAGTTTGGCCAACTTAGCTTTTTTCTAGCCAGATTTATTTATTTAAAGAGACCTTCAGCCGCAAATAGTTGAAATTTTAAGCTGAATTTTCAAATCTGTTTTTTGCCAATCTAAGCTTAGCAAGCTAATTCAGATAGCTTTAGCCTTTTCCAACATTGGATTTATGGGCATTTGGCAACACTGGTTGCCATGCATGTACTTTTCTATTCTTCGGCACGGAAAATGTGGAGTATTTTTAGCTGCAAAGTCGCGTAAAATAGATTTTGATCGAATCTTCGCAGCTTTCAATTTCTGTGATGTTTTGTGAGTGTGCAAGTAGAGCTTGGTATTTATTGTATATACTAATACTAAGTTTATCTAGTATATTTTTAGTATTTTATACTTCTAGTTAATCGTTTGTTTACTTTTGTAAATTGTGGAAATTTGATACAAGGCGAGTCTTTGAAGACATTTTTAAACCCCTTCTTCCATCTTCTTAAAAGCCTAAAAAAAAAACCAAATACTTAAAGTGTTGGAAATCAACAAAATAGTATATTTTTCAGCACTTACATTGCAAGTCTGCCTTTAAGAACTAGACTAGGTGCTGGCTTGCAGTTAAATAGATTGGCAAGTGGAGACACATGATAATATTTGATTCTTTCATTTATTTTTATTGGGAGTCTAGTAAAGCTTGTTATTACAGCATTTGTTTAAGATACCTTTTTTTAAAAATCCTATAATTTCTCTAAAGCGACGGATTTCGCCGGGTTGAATGAAGAAACTAAACATTTATCGTACAAAAACCCATTTTTGTCAAGATGTTTTTATAGAAGCTAGCTATATAAATAAATGTTAAAGTGAGTCGATCCAACTATATCGACACAGCTGTAAATACTGATCTAGTATATATTCTTAATCTTAATAATACTTAAAAATATAACTTTTATGGCAACAGAAGGGTTCGCTTCCTGTCGAAATTCGAATACCTTCTGTTAGGGTATTCAAAAAGGATAACACACAGCAGACAGACAAAGAGACAGACAGACAGAGAGACAGAGAGACAGGCGGGCAGGCATAGGACGTGTTGACGCTTCCGCACATCATCAAACAAAAAAAAAGGCTTTCCTTTGCTTTGTTGTCGCTTATCCAACACTTTTTACATTTATTTACATGTTGATTGTCTGCCTGCAAGTGTGTGTGCGTGTGTGTGTGTGTGTGTGTGTGTGTGTCTATTGCAAATTGGCTGCGAGGATTCTTCCACTTGAATTGTCAGCTTCTCCTTCATTGGCACTCATTGGCCCTGGCCCGCCGCCTGATTGCAATTGACAGTTTCAAGAAGTGGATCACAAGAATAAAAAAAAAAAGGGTTGCCATCACGTTTGCACAATTCTTCAGAGCTGGCGCTGTGTGCTTAGCAAATTGACCGTTGCGCAAATATTTAAATAGTTGTGCATATGTTTCTGGCAACGCTGCCCAAACCTAACAGTTGTCCAGGCCAGGGCAGGGGCAGGGGCAGGGGCAGGGTCAGGAATGGAACAGAGATTTGTGACGGGGGCCAGTGTTGTGTAGCGTTGGGTCAGCAATCACATTTGCAGCAATTAGATTGCCAGATTTCATGTTTTATTGGCATTTTTGATTACATTTTCGTAGCGGGCCGAAAGCAATTTCATATTGAATTTCTTTTTGCGAGGGACACGCCCACAGGCGGAGCAGTGTAGGTAAACGTTCGCTTATGTTGTTGTTTTTATCATCCGCTTATTTGGTATTTTCTGCGCATTTAGTGGACCAATTGTTAGCAAAAGCAGCCAATCAGCCTCGAATCGAATCAATCGTTATTGATGAGACTCTCCGATTTTGGGCTCGTGTTGGGCACAAATTGCACACATGCCCACATTTTTGGTCTGCCCCAGAGATAAACTGCGAGTACTTGGACTAATTAGCAGCACTTGAGCGAACAGAACAAGAAAAAACAAAAAAAAAGAGGAGGATAAACTAAAAACAACCCCTGAAATTAAATAGAAATTTGTCATCTGTCTGTTGCTTACCTTAAGGCGCGACTCAGCTTGTCGTAGTTCATGTTGGGCTTGGATTTGCGCTCGCCCCAGCGTCGGGCGACCTCATCGGGATCGGTTAGCTTGAACTCGCCGTTGGTGCCCTCCCAGGTAATGCAGCTGGCATTGTTGGAGTCCGACAGCAGCTCGAGCAGGAACTGCCATAATTGTATCTGTCCCGAGCCTGTAAGCAGAAGGTGTAGTAGAATTTATACGTGCACATATGTATATTATGGAAATATAAAAGCATTCTTAATGCCAGTATTTTGCCAGCCTAAATGTCCGTCAAAAGAGCATATCCTTTAGTCCCGCTGCTGCTGCTGCTGCTGCCAGCGGGCATGGAATTATGTAACTTTGACTGCGCCTCGTGGCCAAAAACTAAGCATTTTGTGGCATGCAAAAGTGCCATAAAGCATTTCCGACACGCCGACGGCGACGGGGAAGGCGACGGCGACCTCTTGACCGCGACCGGCATCTCCACTTGCCAGCAGGCTTTCCCCGATTTATTTATGTAATATAACAATTCGATAAATTAGCGAGACTTGAACGTTGTGGAAAAGTTTTTGGTAATAAGTTGAAGCCAGAGGAAATGACATTGCATGTAAGTGAAATGTAAGACGGCATATCATGTATGTATACATAATATATATGCTAATATCTAGTATTATATGTGAAAAATTCTAGAGCGGAAAAGCGGTTTCTTACTATCACAAATTCATTTTGATGGGCAAATGGTTTTTAAATTTGAACGGGGCTTAACGTAAGCTGACATGAAGTTAAAGTGTGCTAAATTTTTTCAACGAAAACACGCAAGTGTGGCAACGCCATTTGAAAAAGATGGCAACACACTTTCGACTAATTGATAAAGCAGTTCAAAATTTAAAGAGCTCTGGGTATAGTTGTTACTGTCAAGTAGTTTGTCATTTAAAAAGGTGGCAGCTCCGCAAAATTTTGTGCATGTCAAACATTTACCAGGTGGATAAGTTGTCTAACTTACTTAAACAGACAACCTAGGCTGGTATTAACGAAAATGTTCTTTCAATATCACAAATGCATCTATGATAGAACTATGGTTTTTAAATTGAATTGGGTTGACGTAAGTTGGCATATAGTTAAACTGTGATGTTTTGTATCAAAATAACAAGCGAGTATGGCAACGCATTTTCGACCAGGTGACAGGGCAACTCAATAATATAAAGAGCTCCTCTGTAATTGTTAATGATTGATTGATGATTGTTTAAAATGGTGGCAACTCTGCATACTTTTATGCAAGGCAATCATTTACCAGCTAGATTATTAGCTATCACAAGTTAGTTAACGATAACGTGCTTGACAACATGTTAAAGTGACTGTTAAATGTATTCCAAACAAATTCCTAATCAAAAGTCCATGTCAAGCTCAAGATATGCGTTCTGGCTCTTTAACTCGCAGTTAGTTAGCTCTCTCTACAATTCAGAGATTCGCTCAACCATTTCATGTGCGCATCTTCAGTTGACCTTTGGCTTTTTAGCAGCTCGAATCACAATTGCCCAATGTCGTCGCGTTCATTATGCAATAATATATTTATGAGTATACTTTGATTTTTCCTTTGTGCGTGCCGAAACATTTACAAAATTATTATTTTCGCATTGTGCAAACGATTCGGCACGCATTCAACGCAGACATCATAAATCGCTTAATCATTTGGCAATTAGGCCCAGCCCCAGAACAAAGTCGGACGCCCTGTCACAAAAATAAAACAGAAAAGAACACACACACACAAAGGGTGAGGGAGGCAGGGCAAGTCTGCAGGGGATGAAAAACCTGACAGCCCTGGGAAGTTAAGGTTGAGTTTCCTTTTTTTTCTTATTTTCTTTTTTTTTTTTGGGTGGTGGCTTTGAGCGCTGCTTGTTCATGTGTGAGAAACGTCATGAATATTGCGTTAATTGCAAATCATGGTCAAGAGAATGTGTTAAGTGCCAACACGGCGACGACAAGGATGATGTTGATGATGACAACGACAAGAATGCATGAATGATAACCCAACCGGTTGGACTCTGGCCAGCCGAAGGCGTGGCGAGCAATTGACACGCTATTAAGTCACAATAATAGACAGAAGGTGTTCCTTTTCACGGGAATACGAACAGCTAATTGACACGAAGTTAACCTGTAGTCAAGCAGTTGATCGAGCCATAAAACAAAACTTAAGCGATTTTAAAGATATCTTTTTCATGGCTTAAACTCTACATTAATTCTGCCTCAACAATATATGCAATTTATGCTTAGCACTTTTTTGCCAAAAATAAAATATCTTTAAATTAAAAATATATATAAACGAGAAAGTAGGGATATCTTCCGAAGATCTAATACCCTTGCAGTGCAGCACGAACTTGCTGAGTTTGTTGAAATTTTTATGAAAACAGAATATTTTGCCATATAAGATCCTACTTTTCCACCAATCTTTCCTATAGCAGCTATATTATATACTGGTCTAATGTTAATAAGATTTTTCATACATGCAAGGGTAATAAAATTGTTTGTTTCCTTGAAATCTTCAAAATTGATTTCTAATGTCAGTGACAAACTCTATCTTAAAGAATATACTGAGGTTATTAATTTTTCGGTCGAAAATATTGCCAAGAAAAGCGAAATATTTTGACTCATAAAGAGGCCTTGTTCCTTGTTAATGTCAGACTTTATTTTAATTTATTTTATTTATTTAACTTATTTTATTTATTTTATTTTTTTAACTTATTTTTTTTATTATTTATTTTGTGTATTTTATTTAATTAATTTATTTTATCTATTCTATTGTTTTTATTTATTTATTTTTTTATTTGTTTTATTTATTTTATTTTATTTTATTTATATTATTTTATTTATTGTATTCATTTATGGTCGAAAAAAACAAGTGTCTCATACATCAAATTATAAAAATTAAATGCTAAAATTCTAATTAGAATACACAATTTTCCAATAGGATCAACGACCGATGAAGTTGTTTTATTTGCCCTTCCATAACTAAGGCAGAACCCAGACGATTTTGAGTCTAGGTTTGTTCCCCAGATTCTGCATCCCCAAACTTGCATATTAAAACTTATTTCGGACATTCTTTTTGCAATAAAAAAGTAGCTGCTAGCCGAGCACGCCCTTTGGCCAATTGGCGGGGCAATTTGGCCACGAAAGGCGTCGCGGCGTCGCCTCTGAGAAATGTTAATTTAATATATTAAGCGAAAAAAAGGCGAAAAAAAAACGTGGAAAAGCATAAGTAATTAGCTCGAGGAGTCGTGGAAAGTGTGGAAATGTGGCTTTGATGTGCCGACTGAGGCTGCACTTGTTCTTTTTTCTTCTTTATTTTTTTTAATTACAAACTAGTTTTGTGTGCTGCGGCCTGGTAATTATGTCACGACTGGAGCAGCAGCTAGTTTTAGGGGTTTTTCTCGCTAGTAGTTTTATATTTTTTTACACTGTTTTGCTTGCATGCACAACTTGCAGCTGTGTCTGAGGCGGGCGCATGCAAATGAGGCACGAGGCGGGAGGGGGGAGGGAGCGAGGCGCGATTCTTGCAGCTTGCAGGCAGGCCGAGACCGGACTTGGCTAACAAAGCGGTTCCGTGTCCAGAGGAAGCCATAATTAATCAAAAACAGCATTTTTGCCACCCAAAAAGCGAAAGCGCAGAAACCACATGTGTGTGCGTGTGTGTGTGTGTGTGTGTGTGTGTGTGTGTGTGTTTCTCAGTGAGCTTTTGCGATTAACTTCAAGTTGAAGTCAACTTGGCAACGGCCTAAACCTAAACAACAAACACGTAGCTTGAGCTTGAAAGAGACAGAATACCTCCAACGAGAAAGAGAGAGAGAGAAAGAGCGAGAGAGAGAAAGAGCGAGAGAGAGAGAGAGAGTGTGAAGGCGGGAGCAATGGCGCTCGGCTCGTGTAAATGTCGCGCCGGAAAATGTTGGGCGTCTGAGTTTTTATGCTAATTCCGTTTCAAACGCCATGTTTGGGGCGCCGCTTGTGGGCGTCGAGGGGTTGATTATTTTTAGGAGGGGGCGGGGTTAGGGGGGGGGGGTGGCTCGACAACCCCACAAGAGTGGCCAACAATGGCGGCAAAGCCCATCCTGCCGCAGGATCAATAAAAATTATTGATTTTCCTCAAAACTTTCATTGCATGACGGCCAAATTCAATTCCAAATTAAAGTTTGTCGAATTTCCATGCAATTTCGAATTGTGGTACACAATTGTGTAGAAGAGCTGCAAATGTGACCATAATCGATAGTTTCGATAGGCCAATTCGATAATTTGTGATGAAGTTATTCAAGTCTTGGCTTAAATGCTTTACAATTACCAGAGAACGTAAAAATAAGTATACAAAATTATGTTTAAGCCATATTATTAGGTTAGAAAATAAACAAATTAATTGATAATTATCGATAGTAAATCGATAGACATATCGATCAGTTCTGAGAAAGGTTATAAGGCATTGTTCCTTACGATTTTAAGAAACCAAACATATAAATACTTTAAAATATGTTTTATCCATAATTTTTGTTATCAAAATAATCAATTCAATTCGAAATTTTGGATTATAAATCGATGAACATATCGATAATTTTTGAAAAAGTTATCTAAGTCTTGGCTTTAGTTCTTGACAAACTTAAGAAATTAGAAAAGAATTACTTTGAATTATTATGTAATCAAAATTATCGATAACAACTACATAGCTGGAAAACGATGCCTTTAATGCAGCACTTGAAGATGAGTTAAAATAGTTGATAGATAACCGAATATTATCGATACTTGAATAATGAAAATAGTTGATTAATAATCTAACTCCAAGCTATATCTATATAGTATTATTATCAACATTAATTATAGCTTTTATCATCGATAACAGATAAATAGTTAAAATCGATTTACTTAATGCGAATATAAAATAGTTGATAGATAACCCAGTTCTAAGCTATATCTATATCTATATCTTATTATTATCGATATTCCCTATAATTTTTATTATCGATAACAGCACGATAGTTGCAATTCGATTTCTTTAATGCATATCTATAATAGTTAACGGATAATCTAGCTCTAAGCTGGTATATCTATATAATACTGCTTTAAAAACTTGCCCTCTTTACATTTAACAGATTTTTTTTGAGGCATGGGACCATTTGCGCTGCTCTCTGGCTATTAATCATATGTGATAAGTGCACACCTACTTTTTAACCCTTTGTCAAACCCTTTTTAAAACTAGAAAACGTTTTTTTTTTTTTCATTTTGTAAAGTCAGCTTTTTGGGCGCGTGCTGGACAGACAACGGCAAATGCTTAAAGTCAAAAGTTGGGTAGAACGAAAAAGAAAACTGAAATCAAATAAAAAATAATTGCCTGGCCACGCCCACAGCAGCGCTTAGACACACGCACAGGCGATATATGTGGCGAATAATAAATTCTTTACCCGAAAAAAAACACCTTTCGCATAAATTAGAAAAGTGTAAAGCCCGTTCCAGGGTTCAGCTTTAGCCCCCGGTGTGCATGCAATGGGTTAATTTGTTAGGGCGCGCCGGTGACTAACGGCCAGCCGAATCTCGGCCAGAAATTGATATGATAATGAAGTGCAGCCAGAGAGAGAGCGAGAGAGAGGGGGAGAGGGAGAAGGGAGGGGTGTTTTTGCCCTTAATCAACTTAATCTAAGCACCTGTATCTTTATGCTTTTGTGATTTTCACTCACCTGAGCTGGCCAGCCTGCTGCTGGTGGGTCCGAACATTTGATATGGATCTGCAAAGAGGGTGGCAAGACATTAGTTTTTTAGTTTTTTTTAACTCCAACTCCAACTCGATTACTTTTAGTGCATTTTACGCAAATGTTAATGAAGGACCTGCCAAAACGGAATACATTATATATTGTGTGAGGGCGAGAGCTCGAAAAAGAAACGAATTGTACGTGGGCAAGTTACGTTTCCGCCGATGAAATGAAATGCATTACCGAAACTGCACTTACACACACACACACACACACACACACACGCACATACATATCCATTTCACTTATTATCCGGCGCGCGTTTCCTGGCTGCGCCGCGACTGAGCCAAAAAGCTTAGCATACTTTCTGGCGCGGCAGCTAGCTAAAGGTTAGAATGTTGCCAACAGCATCTTTGACGCAGCTCCGCAGCACAATTGTCCATAATTCGCATCATTCAGAAAAAGCATATATATATATATAGATATACATATATATTCATCAGCAAGCATTGTTTTTTATACCCCATCGAAAGAGGCCGTAAAAAAGGTATCATATTTGTAAGCGAATGTATGTAACAGGCGGAAGTAAGCATCTGCAAAGCCATTTGCCCTTTAGAGATTCTTTTTCAATAGGAAAAGTCTGACTATAAAGTCTAAACTATAAAATTGACAGACGTGAAATGGTAAATATTTATTCTCTTCTATCATACGCTTCACGCGTTTATCAATATATCGATAAATATCGATTTTGAGACTTGCTTTTTATAGCTTAACTCGATAATTATAAAGGCTACATACACCAAATTTTGTATGTAGCTTCTCATCAAACATACACAGTTAGGAAATATCACACTTTATGCATATCTATCAAAATTGCTCAGATTTAAAGCTAAAGCTTTGTGCTCAGGTACGCACACACTTTTCTATGCCATAGTTAAGTCCTGAAAATTTCATTAAGATCGGACCAGAAACATCTGAGTTACTTTGGGTTAGTTTGCCACAGAAAAGAGGAGAGTGTATATTTCTAAGAAGAAGCACAGCCTATGTAAAAGACGCTAATATGTTTGTTGCAGGGTATCTGCTAGTCGCGCACTGCCGTCTACAATGCTCTGCTTTTGTTTTCGCCGGGGCCTATTGTTCGCGCGCTCTGAACAATTTAATGCGCCGCATAAACAGGACCGACGGCAACTTTGGCAGGCTGACTGACTGACGGACGGACTGGCTGGCTGGCACGCGTCTTGTTCGGCCACGGCCGTCAAATTTGACAGCAAAAATATATATAAAAAAAGAGGCAGAAGCAAGCCAAGTTCTCGGCATCGTTTTGAGTGCGTCTGGGGCTGCGCTCTAATTGAGAATCCTTTATGGTATTTCAATTGTTTCCATTACGCTTCAATTCGAATGTGAATGCGAATGTGAATGTGAATACGAATGTGGCGCACTTTTGTTTCCATTCCAGCTCAAGTGGCGTATTTAAGGTTTGATTTGCGACAGTATTTTCCAAAAGGGGATTTTACAACACTTTAAAGCGCACGACCAAAAAAAGTTGGGGTGAGGTAAAAGGACATAACGCACGACTGGCGGTCGCACACTCTGACTCTGGAGTGGACTTGGCATTGAGTGGTGGTATTTGTTTCAAAAATATAAAGTACAAAAAAAAGAAACCAGTGCCCGAAACTCGAGTGGCACTTGCAGCGTGCGCACAAAACTTTATTAGTGTTGGTAAACAGAGAACAGCCTCGCTTGCTGCGCGCCGTGTTTATGTTTGAGTTTGGGCTAAACAAAGCGGCACGTGAACTCAAGCACCTTCTCTTAATATGCCTTTAATGCATCCAAACAGCGAAAGGTACTTAACTTGTTTTTTTCTATTTTCATTTATTTTACCTACATTTAGGGTATACATATAATAAGTAGTACTCACCAGGTTGCCGTAGTTGTGTGTGCGGATCATGTTTAATACTCAACGCATTCGAGCTGTAGCCTGCAAATATTGCATACAAATTTGAATTATATTAGAAACGAGTCTATTGGGAAAGTCAAATATAGACGTAAAATATAAAACGGGCAAATTACAGTAGTAGAATCAGGGATACAAATTATAGAACGTAAATGTAGAATGTAAAAGACAGATGAGATTCTAGCCTAGAAATGTTATGAATATTCTTGATGTGCATTAACAGGCAATTGAGCTAGATATGTGAGTCTATCTATCTGTACTTTCTGTATGAACCCATTCATCTCAGAGGCTATAAGGTCCATAAGTAAACTTCAGTTTTTCAGAATACAATTCCTTCTACGCATACATTGTCCATGTCTGTCTTTATAGATGAATATATGTCCTTGTGTCTTTCCTCCCCATCCTCAAATTTTTAATGTAACTACTAGAAAACTTTATATTTTTAGCTAAGCCTCTTATTTATCTATCTATTAAGCTATCAAGCTACATCAACATCCTCTCCCCCAATTTGAATCGAAAGTAGCTTTAAGCGAGTTGTTTTTGGGTACTGGAGGTAAAGTATTATCAAAATATTGATTTTTGGTACATATATCTATAGTTTAGACTGTATTAAGCTTTTAAATTTCATAGCGAACGAAATAACGAAAATTTGACATTTTATGGTTGCAGTTTATTGAGTGAAAAGAACTTAACTAAGATTTTCAAATGCTCTGTCTCGGCAGACTGGCAATTTTGTGTGAACTTGAGGAAGAACTCTCTGTAAAAGATATTGCCTGGGCTATCTGAAGAGAAATTGATCGACATTCTAGTTAATATTATATAGTAATAATATTAGCTGGTAAAACACTGAAACGCTTTTCGTATACTAGAACAATTATTTCGATTTTGCGAGTCAAAACTAAAACTTTTTCAGTCGAAGAAACAAGCTCAAGCTGATCGTGCTCACTTCAAACTCGAACTATTTCGATTGTACCCGAGTTCATCATTCAAACATATATTGCCTCACATACAACACAAACGCAGTTAGCTCGAACATGTTGCTGAGTCGAGCAGTTCGAGCTTCGTTTGTGATGAATATCTTGCGGTTTTTTGGATCGTTTATTCAAACACTGATTTAGTTGGATAATCGAAAGACGAGTATGTCGAAATTAACCGTTGCAGGTCTCTGTCTGATAAGTGTTTGTGTCGTCTCTTGCATAAATCTCATTAGCCTGTCTGATGGAAAGCTAGCCAGGCGTAAAGTCAACCAGTTGTCAGTTAATATTGCGAAACCCATAACACTTGTCATTTAAACACAATCAAAGGCATCAAACTCAGCCGCAGCACAAACATTATCATAGTTCTGTCATCAAAGCAAATCACAGCCCAAAGGCTATGAGAGACGCGGAGGAGCGTGGAGCAGGGGGGGGGGGGGGACTGTGATATGAGCAATCCTCGCCAGCGTCGGGCTCTTTCATTTTAATGGAATATGATTGTATGGCAGGCAAAACAATGCCGCTGGCAATTCAATTTAAAATGCGATGAGATCTCTGCAGAGAGAGAGAGAGAGAGAAGGGGAGAGAGGGGGGGAGAGTGTCAAAAAGCGTTGAAAGTTGCGGCAAACTTCACGCTCCATACAAATTAAAGCCGCAGGCAAAGAACTCCGGGCCCAGGAGCATGGCCGAGTGATTGTGCACCGCCCGCTGTTGTTTTCGTTGTCACTCATTGTGCAAAAAATACACAAAAAAATATCTACAGAAAAGTAGAGAGCGACAGAGAGAGAGAGAGAGAGAGAGAGGGAGAGAGAGGGGGAGGGAGGTGTATAACTTTGCTCTGTGACATTTTGGGTTTTACGCTTTTGCGTGGCCACTCAACTGCGAAGCGCACAAAAGATGCCCGATTGCATTCGAGCGGGGGGAGGGGAGAATTTGTAAGGGCGGGGGGTGGTTGGGTTGGGTTGGGCTTTCTGTTGTCAGTGCCGGGCTGGCAGCTAAACACGCGCAGCCAAGCTGAAACTTCATGTTAAAACGCTTTACAGTTTGTCGCTCACATTTGTAGCCGCAAGGCAAAGATCGCGTGGGTGTATAGTGGAAAGTTGTTTTTGTTTTATCCTTTTAAAGGGTATTATAGGTTTGTCCTAACATGTGCTAAAAGGAGAGATTCTATGAGGCATACATATATATATGCTTGATTATACGAGTCGACATAGCCAAGTCCGCCTTTCCTTCTCTTTCTTTCTATGCAAATTAGTGTCTCAGTTTTAAAGCCTTAGAAACTTTACATAGATCTGTATTTTTGTTGTAGGCAGCACATATGTCGAAACGGTCAGAATCGTACTACTATATCATATAGCTGCTATAGGAATAATAGGTCAATTTTCCAGATAACTTGACTAGACTCGACCTCTATTAGTTTAACCAAGCTCTCTTTATATGAGCCATCCTTTTCCTTATACTTATCATTATCCTTATTATAACTCGAACTTATCCTTATCCTTACTATAACTTCGAGCTACCTACCTACCTATCCTTATCCCTATCCTTATCCTTATCCTTATCCTTGTCCTTATCCTTATCCTTACTATAACTCGAACTTATCCTTATCCTTACTATTACTGCGAACAACCTATACTTTTCCCTATCTTATCCTTCTTATAACTTTGAATTACCTAATTACCTTTGCTTATTCTTATCTTTATCCTTATCGTTATCCTTACCCTTATCCTTATCCTTATCCTTACTATAACTCGAACTTATCCTTATCCCTACTATAACTTCGAACTACTTACCTACCTATCCTTATCCTTATCCTTATCCTTGTCCTTATCCTTATCCTTACTATAACTCGAACTTATACCTATCCCTACTATAACTTCGAACTACTAACCTACCTATCCTTATCCTTATCTTATTCTCATTAACCTTACTAAAACTATCTGACTACCTATCCTTATCCCTATCCTTATAATAGCTATATATAATTACTATATCGTACAGATCTAGAGACAGAATGGATCTAAAATTGAGCTTTTATATGAAAAAGTGTTTTGTTTCTTCAGATATCTTTATCCAACTCATCAATTAGGAGCTTCACTAATTCCTTCACATATCTGCCCAGTCTCAAGCCCCTATTCTAACTTATTTAATTTCCTTTTAAATTGTTATTAAGTGCCTTTCCTAACTAGCCTAATGAGCAGGTTCTTCAGTTTGGTTAAGAGTCAGACCCTATGCATGTCTCCACGCTTCATTTGTCACCCCTTCGCCACGTCCCCGGCTGACTTTTGGCTGACAGGGACACGTGTAGGCAACACCTTTTCGATTTTACATTTCATTTTTTGTATTTTTCCCATTCAGGCTTGTTGAGTTTATCAATAGATTGAACAGCATTTTGCACGGTTCGTTGGGCGCCTTTCACTGTGTGTGCGTGTGTGTGTGTGTGTGTGTGTGTGCTGTCTCTTTTGCATGCTAATCAGTGTGTACACATGCATTTATTTATTTATTGGCTTTTCAAGTGCTCTTGGCTTGATTTGTGGCCAATGATTTCATATAACTTTTTGAATAGATCTTTTCGTAATTTCATATCATTCAAACTTTTGCAAGTGGCAAAGTTTTTACAATTTTGTACATTTTATGGCTGATAGGAATTGAAAGAGGCTTTTGGCAATATTTTAATCCCAACGAATGAAAATCCTTAAGCTAGCTAGATGTCTTGCGAGAATATTCGGATAAGAAGCTTAACTTTTAAAAGTTGCTACAATAAATGGCCTCAAAATAATTATTTACAATTATTAAGATATTAAGCTTCCTTTTCTCCTAAAATTAGGATTAGCTAACATATTTTTCAACATTTTGAATTGAGGAAAAATAATAATATCTCAGTTTTCTCCACTTTTTTCTAAGCTAGGATGGAAGCGAGGACAAAAAACATTTACACATTTTAATCAACTTTATCAGAAATGTTTTTGTCTCCTAGTTTCAAGTCACAATGAGCTCTATATTATTTCTATTTGAGAGCTTCAAGATTTCGAACCATTTTGCAACTATTATCCTCTTTAGAACTCAGAAAATGATCTTAGGATTTTTAAACGTTAATATGAAGTAATTCTAATAATTGAAATAATAATAATAATATTAATATTGTGTGTTGATTTGTTGGGTCCTGGCTTGATCAATGTGTTCCATATATCTTGTGCTTTATTTCCAACTATTTAAAGTTTTCCAATTAAAGTTTTCCTCCTACGCGTTTTGAAGCCCCGTCGCGTTTTCACTAGTCTTTCTATGTTCTAATGTTTTCAACCAAATGGAAAATAATAATAATAATTTTAGCAATTACACTAATAAAATAAATAATAATAAAGAAATTAAACTGAAGGAAAATTTTGGGAATCTTTTGATGCCGGGAAGCCAGAAAATATAAAAAAAAATAAATCAACAGAAATCTTAAGAAAGTCAAAAACTTTGTTATCTTTTTTCAATTCTCTTTTGTTAATGAACACAATCAAAAATCTAGATATTATTCGTATCAGAATAATGCGTCTTAAGTAAACCCACAAAAATAAAACGAATTATAATATTAATTTACACTCACCTTGCGATTGTGTGGAGCTATGCGAGCCCCACGACGATTTGTACGAGGAATCTGCAACAGAAGAGCAAATAGAAGAAAATGTCAGTCAAAGAAATTGTAAATTTGCACGGAAAACGAGAAGAAAAAAAGGGAAATGACAGGAATAGAAATTGTAAAGTTGTTAATTTGCGAGGACTCGACTTAGACTAGCAAAATTGAGTTGGGTTTTGTTTTCGTAAATATAAATATAGATAGATATTTATATATATGTATATTGATTTATTTACTTGGATTCCATGTGGGATTGCCCATCACCGTTGGCCGGCTGGATTCACACATTGCCCACTCACCTGCGAAGAGCATTGAGAAATTGCTAAAGCTGCCCGTGGAGCGTGACAAATAATCAGCGGATGATTTAATGTCGAGCATTGTGGTGGCAGCGACGGCAACCGCCGGCTGCTGCTGCTCTTCCGGCTGCTACGGTTGCTCCTAGTCAGAGCAAGGACACGAATTTCACGCACACAAAGCCAAATTTAGGCGAGTCTTCGAAGTGTTTGTTTCTTCAATTTCAAATTGAATTGATTTGGGCGAAAAAAAGTCAACCGGCATGCGGTCGCGCCGGAAAACGGAACGGGAAAAGTGACGATCGGAACCGGTTACCGTTACCGGACACCTCCACTTCCGGGCCGAGCTATCCAAATGCACTTTGATTTTAGACCGACTGCACGCGCGCGTCTCAGTATGAGAGTGTGTGTGTGTGTTGATTTCTATATATGTGTCAATCTGTGCGGTTGTGACTTCTAAATCGCGTATACGCAGCGTAAATCACTAGCAGAGAGATGCTTTCGGTGAGAGCTGTTGCGACTGTGTGACACCGGATTGCGTCCGATCTGTGGCACGGCAGCGTAACAATTGATTTCATTCCGTCGTCAAATCGCGCATATCCTGGCCCAGCTACCGGGCCAGTGCAAGGCAAACCCAAAAAAAAAAAAAAAAACATAAAACAACCCCACGCAGCAGAAGGGCGCAGGCTCAGCCAGTCACAATGTGGGGGTGGGTGGTTTCGGGTCTGGTTGGGTGGTTGCTGCTGCTGCTGCTGCTGCTGCTTTGTGTATCTATCTGTCTGGCTGTGAGTGTGCGTGTGTGTGTGTTGCTGGCTCTGTTTGACGACGACGTCGCTGCTGTTGTCCTTTATGCGCGCCAGGATATACTTAGGTTATAATCCACACCAGAAAGGCAGCCACCCCTTTTCCGTTGAAACACCAATCAGCGTTGAGACAAGGTGTGGCCTAGCTTTGCACACTCACACACGCGCGCATACTCACACACACACTCTCTCTCACACACACAGACACAGTCGCTCGCTTAAGCGCAAGCTTTTTGCAAATGGCTTTGACAAAACAATTTCTGCACAATATTTTGCTGGCGGCTATTTTTAGAACCTGCTCCTATCGATCATTTTGCTCTCTTAATCAACTCGCTCTCCCTCTCTCTCGTTCTCTCTCTCTCCCTTTGGCTGCTGCTTGCACGCCCTCTGTCGTTCTCTATTTGTAGGAGTTTACCGTTTCCACTTGAAATCTAGCCGCAGCTTTCGTTCAAATTTGCTGTGTGCTTGTAGGCAGCCACACTTGACGCTCTCTGCCTCTCGCTCTCGCTCGCTCACACGCTTGTGCTATTGCTATCTCGCTCGTTCTCTGTGTGTAGGCACTCGTTGCGCTGGCGACGTCGTCGTCGTCGTTAAAAGCAGCGACTGCACTGCGCTGTGGCGTTGCCTTTTTAGTGGGTGACACGAAGCAACAAGGACGGATGTATTATCCACTTCCTTTTTCCTTCCACCAAACACAAGGATATTACCGTTTCGTCGTTCGCCTACATTGCGACTACACCCACATCAAGTTGGCGCTGCGCGTTGCAGAAATTCAAGTGGTGGGGCGTGGGGGAGGCGTGGGCATATACTCTCTCTGTGTGTGTGTATTTGTGTGTGGGTGTCTGTGTGTGGGGGTTACGGGGTAAACACCTGAAAACAATGGCTTGATGGCCATTCAAGCTGCTTGTTGCGATGCCAGAATTGTGGCTCAAATCGACAATTGTTGTTGCCGCGCGCTGATTGCAAAGCCTGCGCCACACGTTGACGTCGCTCTCAACAGCTGCAGTCGGCGTCGACGTCGACGTCGGCGTCGCTTCAGCTGCTCAAGTGCAATTTCTCTTGTCGCCCTGCGAAAGTCTGCTGCAAGCTATGCAAAATAACTGATACAGACAGAGACACACACACACACACACACACATGCACATACATGCACACCAACACCTAGACACACACATACACATTGCCCCTTGGCTGGCTTAATTAATTTTCGAGATCATTGAAATTGTTTTTTATTTTTTTATTTGCTCTGTTCCAAAACTCATTTCAGCCTTTTGCTAACGCCCTGTTTGTGTGTGTGTGTGTGTGTAGGTGTGTGTGTAGGTGTGTGGGTGGCTAATTCACAGGCGTCAACACACAAATTGCAGCTGCTCAGCCACATGCATGTGCCCAGCAATAGCTTTTTATAGTTTTTTTCAGCCTTTTTTTGCCTCTTTTTTGTGCTGCTAAAAACAAATTTCGCTTTTCGCAAAAAAAGTTGGCAGCGCAAGGCGATGTGTGTGCGCGTGTGTGTGTGTGTGTGTGCGTGTGTGTGTGCTGCCTTGCTTTGACAAGCAGTTATTTAATAAAAGTTATCTGGAGGACGGCTTCAACTTTGGCTTGATGGCAGCCATTGAAAATCTCATATGCACTCTGGACTGCGTGGGTCGCTTTTGAACTAAAGCAAAGTAATTAAGAATTCGATTTTTAATAGAAAACTAAATTTTTCCAGGCTACAAACAGATGGACTGTAGTATGAGATAGGAGCATAGGACACGGGTTAACAATGTATTCACATATATATTTAATAATATATATCCATATAAAGCTCATTCAACATAACTGTACAAAGGCTTTCGCTTTCTCTCTCGGAGAAAAGAAGTATATTGGTTAACTGTAATGTCCGAAGAAATGTTCTCCGTGGCTCAGTTCACGGTTCGAACCAAGTTCACAGTTCGAAGAAATGTTTCCATGGTTCAGTTCACTCAGTTTTAAAATATTCGCGAAAAAAAACCATTTTGTTTAAATCTATGATTCAGCTCCGGCTTTGGTTCGATTTTCTACCCTTTCCACCCACGATTCAAGGTTCGGTTCATGGTTAATAAAATAATGTAAGCTCAGACTCAAACCGGATTCTTTTACAAATCTGGTTTTCAGTCTTGATTATGGCATTCAATAAACGTCCCTCGTACCTAAATATGTGTGTCTACAAGTGTGTGTGTGTGTGTGAGTGTGTGTGTGCAAACCCTTGCTAATGGAATCTAAAATGGCTAAATAGCAATTTGCTGTTCTTGGCTCGCTGGCAGCCAAAGGCGAAGGGGTCTGAAGGGGGCAGGGTTTGGTTAGGGAGAAAACTAAGTTCACTTGGCGCAAATGTTTGCCGCGGCGTTGTGTGTGTGTGTGTGTTTGCTGAGTGTATGTGTGTGTGTGTGTGTTGGCTGTGCGAAATTTAGTTGGTATTTTAATTGCATTCATTATGTAATTTCATTTTCACGCTTGCGGCAAAACTTTAAATTAATTTCTTTTGTGGCGCTGTTTCCGCCATTTTGCATGCGCCACCCACCCCCCATCCCCCCTCAGACGCCAACCCGCCGCCCCTGCGCCTTCCCACATGCGGCATTTCCGCGGGGCGAGCTATTTAAGCCGCGGTTGCTAAGACGCTGACGCTGCCACGCCCACACTTGAGGCGAACTGCGAAATGCGTCATCTTAGCGCGGACAGCAACCCACACCCACAGCCCAAACACAAACCCCAAGCCCAGGACCAGGCCCAGGCCCAATGCATCAAGGTTCGTGTTCCATTTGTTTGTGTGCAGCCAGAGAAGTCAACGAAGCGTCAAGACAAACATGACACGAATGTTGTGTGAGAGAGGGGGGTGTAGAGCGGGTGGAGGGCAGGGTGTGTAGGCTGACAGGGAGCATATTGTCAGTGTTGGGCAACCACCAACATTTGCAGTTAATAAGAAACGCAATCAACGCTGCGATTTGTTTTCTCAAGCTCAATAAAGCAAAGTCGTGAGTGAAAGAGAGAGAGACAGTGTGTGTGTGTGTGTGTGGGAGGGAGCAGGCATGCTGCTAATATTACGCGCGCCTGTGTCTATGCAACAAAAACAAACTGCCTACAATAACAACAGCAGCAAAAGCAAAAGCAAAAGGGCAACAACAACAGCACACGTGGCCATTAATGACGTATGAATGATATAACACGCGACGGCACGTGGCCAACTGGCCGACTGCCTGCCTGCCTGCCAGCGGCATGACAGGACGCACTCTGCAGCTGGCCAGGGCAGGGCTGAACAGGGCTGGACAACAGCTCCTGGAGTGATTGCTCCTTTTCTTGGCACCCGTTGCGGCTCTTTAATACCCGCCCGCCTTGCACGAGCGACCCGTCGGATTGCTCATTTCGCCTGCAGCGAGATTTTTATGCGAGTTGGGTTTTTTTTTTTTTTTTTGTCTTCTTCTCCTGCTTGTTGCAGGCCAGAAATGCGTATTGTTATAATAGCTATTATAAAGGGATATGGAAAGCTTTATGTGGATGTGTCAAAGGATACAAAAAACTAGCATTGGCACATCACATAAGAAATATACATAGATGTATCAAATTGTTGGTCTTGATTGACTGACTGATATATCAATTAGAATTTGAGATGCAAATTTTCAAAGGAGAAATATGCAAAGTTATGTCTAGATACTTGAGGACACAATTTCGAGAGATTTTCTATATCCGATAAAAAATATATATCGATTTTGTGGAGAAGATAAAATTGATTGATAGCTTGAAATAAATTTCAAGTGAATTTCGTATGGAAGAACATGTATATTTTACATATGAATACAATCATACAGTCAGACAGAATAAACCTCAAATCGATATTTATCGATTTCGTTAAAATGAGGACAGATAATTTGAAGCAATCAATTCTTAAGAAAGGACATGGTTAATTAAATTG